AAGGAGGAGACGTTACGCTGACCGTACGTGTGTTGAACGCGGAGGTGCCGTCCGTTCAGCGCTAGGATCTCCGGTGATTTGGATCACGTCGAGTACGCCTTCCTCATCCCCGTTCTTTGAACGCTTCCGCGCGTGATCTACAAAGGTATGTAGATGCAATCCGATCACTTGTTGCTAGATGAACTCCTAGATGGATCTTGGTGAAACCGTAGGAAATTTTTTTGTTTTCTGCAACGTTCCCCAACACTCGGAGGAGGATGACTAGTTTTATGGATGTAGTAGTTTGAATTAGTTGTAGTAGTCATTTAATTTTTTTATTAGAACTATGTTTGAATTATGTCTCAAATGAAGTAGTTGTTGAAGCTTCTAGGTTTTACATCTCCAATTGGCATCATCTATTGGAGTTGCACTTCTACATCATCAAAATACATCATTTAATGGAGTTGCCTCTTTTTGAAGATGTAAAATGCATTTTTTAAAGATGTAAATTATACGTCACTTAGTTTTACATCTTTAAATTTTGATCATCTATGGGAGATGCTCAAAGTTTTGCATCATCTCCATAAAAAAGAACAAAATAAAGGCTTCTCATTAAACCTCCACCCGACCCGAGTGGGCGACCCCAAAACAGCAAGCAAAACAAAACTGAAGTAAACTGAGCCCGAAGCAAGCCATCACCGCTCCTCGCCGCTCCCTCCCCTCGCAACAGCTGCATTTCAATAGACTGAGTTTTGACAGTTGGGTCAATAGATCTTGGTCGAAGGGAGAAATAGCCAGATGGGAGGAAGAAGCTCGTTGGGCAGGCTACCCCGGTGTCTATCTTAGGGTTCATGGTGGGACGGTGGTGGGGGCGGTGGTAGGGGGGATTCGCCGAAGAAAAAACTCGGTGCGGCGGGGCCTAGAGGGGTGGACGGGGCGGTGAGAGACCGACAGTGGGGGGTGGTATCGAGGAGGGCGGGGTGGCGAGGCTGGCGCGGGCGGTGGTGGCTGGCGGTCCGTCCGGTGGTCCGTGGGGGTGGTTGGAAGAAAGCATCGGAAGAAAGAAGATGCGATGTGATCTGTTTTCAGAAACTGCTGGAGGTGGAAGATGACTGCTGGCCGTTAGATTAGAGATAAGGGCGGAGAACATCGACTGACCCAAATAGGGACTTTCAGTCGACTGGCCCGTAGCCAGTCCCCCTCCCCTCGCCCCCAAACCCTACCGGCGGCAAGAAAAAATGCCGCGGCTGACGCCGGCGGACGCGTCACTTATCCTCGACCACGTCGTAGGGGACGCGTCCATCCCCACCGCCGCCGCCAACGTGCTCCTCGCGGGCCTCCCCTTCCCGGACCGCCCCACGCCGCGCCTCCTCCGCTCGCTGCTCCTCCGCCGCCTCGCCACCGACCCCGTCTCCACCGCCGCGCTCGACTCCCTCCAGCTCCTCGCCTCCCTCCCCGACCCGGACCCCGCGTCCCCCGTCTCCGCCGCGCACCTCGCCGTCGCCGCCTTCCTCGCCTGCTCGGCGCCCGACTTCGACGCCGCCGCGCGGGCCCTCTTCGCGCGCGCCGCGCGGTCGACGATGAGGAGGGCGGGGACCCCGCGCTCGCCTCCTCCGAGGCCCTCGTCGTCGCGGACAAGTTCGAGGCCGCCGTCGGGAACGCCTTCTCGCAGGAGGTGCTCAAGGGGCTGTTTGGCGACAGGGCCAAGGCGGAGCGGCGGGTGAGGGACCTCCTGGCGGCCGAGTGGGCCGCGATCGGCCCGTCTCGCCTGGAGCTAGCGGCCGAGCAGATAGTCGGCGACGGCGCCGTCGAGACATGGCGCGCCGCTGACGAGACCGTCCGCGCCAAATACCGCATTCTAGGTGAGCATTCTTCTGCTCTGGCCAACAAAGCACAGCATTTTATTTGACGAGGCTCTGAGACGCAATGATGCGATGAAGTTGCCTATACTATCCCCTGCTCCGTGAAATTCGAGGATCTGCGGAGCGCCTGTTCCCCCGCTCCGCAATTTTTAACTTCAACCCCGCCAGCTCCGGGAGCGGGAGCGTGGAGCGGTGGGATGCCGAACAGGCCTTATATGTTATACTTTTAGCCTTTGACGCAAGAGGCGACAATAGAAAGATAATATCTATCTCCCAGGAGGAACCTGAAATGTAACTCTGGTGAACTTGGTCAGCTAGAGCGTTCATGATTGTCAACCATTGACATGCTTGTGAAATCTTTAATTCTTCATCATTCGTTCCTGTTTTTTTTTTGAAGCGTCACCGGGAGAGGGGTAATGACCCCTCCACCTGAATTTTATTGCCAAATCCCCAAGAGAGAGGGGGGACATCAGTTTTTACAACACCAGAACACACGCAAATGATAATTTCAGACAGTTCAGTTATTGGAGTATTTAAGAAAATCAAACCAAACAAAAATAGAGGTGTTCACATATTTATCCTGTGAACAGATAGACCTCCTACTCATGCACTGTAATTTTACTTCAGGCATGGCACGGGCAAGATTAACAGGCAAGTTGAGCTAGCTACCCATGCACTGTAATTTTGAATAGAAGATTGGATGCTGAAACTAAATCAACTCAAGTGTTCAGCTAGCTACCCATGCACTGTAATTTCCAATGGCACGTCTGAAACATGTTTTCCTACTTTCGTCGCCAGTCATGCATGATCAGCTCAAGTGTTTGCTGTTTTCAGCATGGCAGTACACTATTATATTTATGTGTAGTTATTAGACCTGTACTCCCTCCGTAAAGTAATATAAGAGCGTTTAGATCACTAAAGTAGCGATCTAAACGCTCTTATATTTCTTTACAAAGGTAGTATGTAGCTTCATATATGACTTGTACTTGTACATGTAATCCCTTTATAAATATAAACACCAACGCCACCCTTAGCAGTTGTGCAGTTGACTCAATCTTTGTCTAAACCTAGTCTTTAGTCATGTAACCTTTTGATAAAATTCAGTCTTAGATTTGCTTTGAGGTATAAAATGAGAATAAATACATACCCCACTTGTCAGTTTATGCATTGTTCTTGATTGGGTGTCCACTTGTCAGTTTATGCATTGTTCTTGATTGGGTGTCCACTTGTCAGTTTCAAATTCTTTTACCAAAAGGTAGCTTATTCCAAAATAAAAAAAGATGTTTGATATAAGTTCAGTACATATGTCAAGTAGATGCAGCATGCAGGTATGCCTCGGTGACACTAAATTACAAAATAGATAAACAGATACTCCTCGTGCTACTGATCTTTCTTGTTACTTTGGCTTGTAAGAATGACAGCATTAACTTCACTTGCCGTCTTCAAGCGTTGAGAAACGTCCAGCAGTTCAACATATGGACAGTTTCTTACATCTTCAAAAAACAGAAGGGCTACAGTTTTCTCTATTTCCCCGAGAAAGGCTTGCTGCAAAATTGCCAACATTTCACATAGAGAAGTCATGTCATGGCATGGTCTTAAAAATCAGTGGTATTACCAAGAGATATAATAATGGGAGTTTTGATTAATAAAGATTTGAACCCATAGTCCTAACTGAAGTTAAACTGTTAAAGGGATAATTTCAGTAGAACTCACATTTTCTTCACCTCTTGGTGCAAGTTCTTGAGCAAATTCCAAAGCTTCATTTATTTTTCCCACACGAATCAACTCTATTAGTTTCTGCTGCTGCAGATGGAAGTATAATTGGGGATTTGTTTCCAGAATCCGCATGTTATGATAAGTCAAATTTTAATGAAGGATTTGTAGGAAAATGGATTTCAGAATATACACCTGGATGTGGCCACACCCTATTGTAAAAAAATGCAATTTACAAGCACATTTGCTTCAATTTCTATGTAACCAAAGTCTACAATTTCTATTTTACACAACCTATACACTGTAATTTTCAGCAGAAGATTGGAGTTGAAACTACAACACTCCTTGGGGATGCAATCACAGACACTGGATCACAGATGATGGAGTAAATCACAAGACACAGTAGGCAATCATAGCAAGGACCATAGACACCAGAGAAAAGGGGCCGCACCTTGGGGAGGCAGAGGTGGTCGAGGAGCGTGACGGTTGTGGAGTGGCCGCGTACCGCAAGGGCGGCCATCTGGTGGCTCCATGAAAGCCACATCTCCGAGAAGCCATGGAGGAGGAGGACATCGTTGACCTCAGCGCTCCAGTGCCGCACCTCGCTACCCGTGTCGATGGACTCAGGTTGTGTTTGACTCGCGGAGATCACCATCTTCTCCTCCGGCGTCGCACACTCGAACAGCAGGCCTCTCTTGAGCAGTTCTAGCACCTAAGCTCACAGATCTCGGCGTCCAGGCTCGCACCGCTGGTTTCTTGGCCAGAAACGACCTTGAACTGAAGAAGCCCATGCCGCGCTTGTAGCGGCGGGTGTAACCAGCTGAGGCAGTGGTGCCGAAAGTACAACTGAGGAAGGAAGGCACCGGCCAGGCGGCGGCGATTTGAGGGGAGAGGAGGAGGTGTCGAGAGAGTGAGCGAGTGAGGAAGAAAGACTCGAGACCGAGTGAGGGAGATCTGGGTACATTTGTAGTGACCGAGCGATTCGGGAAAGGTAGTGCAAATTCCAAAAGTCTTATATTTCGGTATGGAGGGAGTATATGTTTTACATGCTAGTATAATTTGTCCTGGTTCCATAAATAATTGTTTTGAGCATATTTTGTTTGAGCCACAATTTTGTTTCTAGTGGTGTTTGAGCATGCTAGTATAATTGTTTGAGCATATTCTGTTTGTACATACTTGGTAGATTAGACCAAGTATAGGCCGTGGATGTTTAATGTTTGGAGTTGTTGTTTGTGCACCTGTCCCCAATAGGACAATGAGTGACCCCTTCAGCCCTTCTCCTGCGTTTCATGGCCCTTACTGCTAAGTCTTTGATGACCAGTGGAACTTTCATTTGGAATTCCTGTTTTCTGGGCCTGTTCTATTCACCACTCATGTGCTTGGAATGGTAATTGGAATTATTTTACATTGTTGCATTTAGATCCAACCACGCCACAATGTTATTTTATGCCTATCATTGATGGTACAATTTTGGAACTAACAGGTGGGAAAGAAAAAACACGTGAAATTTTGAGCAAAATTGAAGACCGAATTTCAACCCCTCAAGTTCATAAGGTCATACATGACCTGAAATCAAGCTGTGCTGACCTTCATAATGTGGTGGATGATCCATTACCAGCCGCAAAAGCAGCTGCAGATAAGGTGTTGGCTGCAAGGATGGATAAGGCAGTTCATATTAATGATGAAGAATTTAACAATCAGGCTGCGAATTGTAGCATTGCTGGTCCAAGTGCTGTTAATGACCAAGGCGATACATTGAGAAAAGGCACGCCATCAAGTCTTATGGATTGGAACCCTACAGCACAATCTCTTCTTGTGAGTTTCCTTTGTGTATTACTCCCTCTGATCCATATTACTTGTCTTAGATTAATCTAAGACAAGTAATATGAATCGGAGGGAGTATCTGTTTTATGTTTTCTATTATTCTACATATTTCAACCACTTCGATCAAGGAGTTATATCAAATGGAGACAACTGGGTTATCTTAATTATAATTTATCTAGGAAACTAATGCTATCACAACGCCTTTATGATATAAATAGATGCCTAAAACACCATCTATTTGTTTGTATAAGTTACTTTGGTAAGTTCACAATTATTATGCTGCTACTTTTCACTGCCATCTTCAGTTCTGTTGCTTTCTAGAGAAACTAGATAATAGTCTCTCCGTTCACAAATATAAGATTCTTTGAATATTTCAATATAGACTACATACAGACAGAAATGAGTAAACAAACACACTAAAACATGTCCATATACATCCAATTCACAAAAAAGTCAGAACATCTTATATTTGTGAACGGAGGGAGTATAAGTTAAAAGTTATGTGGACATATGTTTTTTGGACAGGCTGGTTTCTTATGCATGGCAAACGATTATCAAATCAGCATTTGAACATACAGCAAATATGCATTGGTACTTGTGCGATTGATATAATACTGAACTTTTGTAAGTTAATACTACTTTCTTTGTACAATATATAAGTTAATACTTAATTTATATGATGGCTAATCCTTAGTAAAATGTGATCTTCAGTATTCTCCATGCACATTGGCCAGCTATGTACATCTCCAGAAGTAAACTATGATGTAGTTTAATTAAAAAAAGAAGTGGAATTTTAGTGCTTTGGTGATTAAAGTCTTTTCTTATTATGTAGGACACCCTTCTAGGCATAAGTCCTAAAACATTAGATTTTGGTAACTATGCTCAAAGGGATCTTATTTGCAGTGGGAGGATTCGCTTGATCCTGATGGTTCAAGATCACAATCACATAGACCGCACTTGCCTAGCCCAAGGAGAATACTGGTTTCTCCGTTGCAAGTGGCAGAAAACAAAGCTAGGCGTAGAAGGGCAAGGAGGTGGAGCTCGGTAGAAGAAGAGACATTAAGGAAGGGCGTTGAACAGTATGTCTTTTGTCTTGTTGGAATTTGTTATTCGATAATCTCTCTTGATTGCTGTTTAAATTTTGTCTCGAAGCCGTAGTTTGTGCCTTTTTCTTTTATGATCCTTACCGCTTCTCCCTTCTTGCTGTTGTGAAGATTTGGTAGCAGCAATTGGAAGGATATTTTGATCCACAATCCCGATGCTTTTATTGGTAGAACAACGGTGGGTATTTGAATTTTACACTAAAGAATTTCTTTTTGTGACTGATCTTTCATCTAGTAACCGCCTAACCGGCCGTCGTATTGCAGGTGGACTTGAAGGATAAGTGGAGAAACATGATGAGATAGTGGAGAGACATACTTTAGGGTGGTTCTATATGGTGAAACTGCATGCCTCTTTTACCGATGGAGCTAGGATGCAGCTTGTTAATATTTTGTTACATCGCTTAGACGCTTACTTTTTTTGTGTGTGTGTGGAAAAGACCTCAGGATAATATTGAAGTTTCAAAAGTAGTGCAAAGCACCCTGAAAGTAAAGAAAAGTACAACGAAGTCCTCAGACCACCCGACGAAGACTACGCACACCAGAGCGGGTTGACGGCGCCCGCCGTCGCTGCCGCTGCTCCCGGAGCCAGCACCACCCTTGTGTAGACAGGCAATATGACGGGCAAATGACACCGGATGCTATTATAGATGTAAAGTCTCTCTTCGGTAATTTAAGAAATGCTTGTTTTTTTTGGTTGTTGTTGAAGTGTTGTGGGGCATTTTCTGTCGTGATGGAATGTTGTCTCTCTTTTTTGAACACAAGGAAGGCGCATTCAGGCGCCAAATTTCATTCAACTCATTTGCAAAATACAGCGTGTATTACAAATCCTTCAACCTGAAAGTTTTGAAGAGAAAGCATAGAAGGACAAGGAGAATGAGCTGAATTTGTACAGCTAAAAACATGTTCTATTCTTGAATTGAGAACCTAGTGAGCACAGTTGTGGGCAATGCTATTGATATTCCTGAGAATGTGATAGATAGCATCAAGTTCACTAGAAGAGTCCTGCAGGAAACTACTTATTTGAGGTCGACATCTCCAAGCAATAAAGTTATCCTTAATATTACTGAAAACCACCATCTTTGCCAAAGGAAGGTTGTCTGTGAGGAATGACATATTATGGAGTTGTAACCTGCAAGCCACCTTAGCAGCAAATTGAAGGGCCAAGGCTTTAGCCACGAGAGGGGAATGTGTAGAGTTAGCAGAAGCTTGTATCATGATTTGTGTGTCAAAGTCATCTCCAGGAACAAAAATGAAAATTCCAATTCATGTAGCTTGAAGATCACTTCTTCCTGGAATGTTTTTGTTCTTCCATGAGGCATCAGAATAAACTTTTGTTCCTGAAATTATCGCATCAGACTTTATAGTTGACCCTTGAAGAGGCTGTCCCATTTGTTCAGAATCTGTAGCCAGAGTAGGCCCAATTCGGTGCCCAGGCTCATCTGCACCCGATCAGAAAAAAAATCAAAACAAATACTAAAAAATTCAAAAACTCCATTTTTTTTATGTGATAGATAATTGTATGTGTGAGGTTCGCTCCAAATTTCAACTTATTTGGACATTTGAGCAGCTCACACAAAAGAAAATTGGAATTTTTTTACTATTTGTTTTTAATTTTTTTTGTTAGGGGGGAGGGGGGGGTGCAGATGAGCCCAGAAGCAGAAACGCCGCACTCAGGAAGGATTGACTTCCTGCAATCTTTGTTCATAAAAAACCTGCAGAGAAAAGATAGCTAGTGTTGCATATTGCACTTGATGAGGTAGTGAAAATTTCCTGCAAAAAAGAACATTGTTTCTACTATCTCTGTCCCATAATATAAGAACGTTTTTTTACACTAGTGTAGTGTCAAAAAAGCTTTTATATTACGGGACGGAGGGAGTAGCTTTCAATTTTTTGAATATTGTCTTTATCCGAGCATATTACACCTTGCTGTATTGCCATGGTGATGTTCTCAGACAGCGGCGAAGCTACAGCAAGGCCGAATGGGCCGTGGCCCGCCCAGCCCATGCGATTTTTCTGTAGTGTATACTTATTTTTGGGCCATGAAACACCATCCCAATAGTTCTTTCCTACTGTCGGCCCGTCCAGTTTTCTGGGCCAAGCTCCGCCACTGTTCTCAGATAACGTCGTCCCAACCATGTGTGGATGTCCCCATTTATATTTTACTCCCTCCGTTTCTAAATATGTCTTTTCTAGAGATTTTAAATGAACCAACACATACGGATGTATATAGACATGACATATTTTAGAGTGTAGATTCACTCATTTTGCTTCGTATGTAGTCACTTGTTAAAATCTCTAGGAACGGAGGGAGTAACAACTAGGATGCTTACTGCTCACAAAATGGTCATGTTTTTTCCATAGTTTATGCATGTGTACACATTATATATTGTTCTACAACATTTTTTAATCTTTTAAACAACTCAAATGACCAAATTGTTAATTTTCAGAATGAACTTGGAATAGTGAGTTTAGTCTTTCATGGCCGCCCCTTTTGTAGGCGTGGTCTACTTTTTTTTTCTGAGGTAAGTCTATTTTTTTAAATTTATTTTCGTGTCTTGGGCATACCTGGCCAAACGGGCCGGCCCGGCACGGCACGGCCCGACCCATCGTAATCTTGCCTGGCCCGACACGGCCTGTTAGTGCACGATTACTATATGTGCCGTGCCGGCCTGCGTGCTGCGTCCCCAGGCCCAGGCACGGCCCAGTTAGTAAACGGGCCGGCACGTTGGCCCGTTTAGTACGGTGGGCCGCATATTTTCAGTCTATTATCTGACGCACTGAGCATTTTTAGCCTATTTTTACATGTTGAGCCATATATAGATATAGAAAAACATAAAAAACCTTAATCGGGCCGTGCCGTGTCGGCCCGCATGCCCAGCCTCCAGTCCCAGGCACGCCCAGGGCGTGCCGCATGCCAGGCCCGGCCCGTTTAGCCAGTGCCGTGCCGGCATGCTCACGGGCCGGCCCGAAAAAATCGGCCCATTTGGCCAGCTATAGTCTTGGGATTCCAGGCACCTCTGGGGCTGGGCGGCCCAATTCCTCCAAGCCCGGAGCGGCGAATGCCTCTTTCCGGTGGGCCCTACCCCTATTCCTGCCGAGAGCAGCGCCGCTGCTCCACCGCCCGCCGTCCTTCTATCCGGAACAGTAGCCGCCCCGCCGCATCCTCATCCACGACCGTAGCCGCCGTGAAGCCATGCCGCCGCCTCACAGCACACAGCCGCCGTCTCCCCTTCCTCCCCGGCCGCGCCTCCTCCAGAGCCTCGGCTCGTGCTCCAGAAGGGCCGTCACGTCCGCCGCCTCCTCCCCCTCGCCCTCGCCGCCGGGATGGCCCCGCCCTCTCCGCTACGCCGTCCTCGGCGCCGGCTTCGCGGGGCTCTCCGTCGCGTGGCACCTCCTCAAGGTCCCCTCCCCTCCCCCTGGCCTTATATTTACTTATACACACACAGCTGTGACTCGGAGCATCGCCTGAACCAGCCGACGCTGTCTGGCGTGTCTGCAGCAGAGCCCGAAGGATTCGCGCGTGTCGGTGGACGTCTACGACGAGAACGGCGTCGGGGGAGGCGCCTCGGGGGTCTCCGGAGGGCTTCTCCATCCGTACTCGCCCAAAGGTCTCCTCCATCACTACAACCATTCGACACTGTGTTCCACTCACTATATTGTACGTAGGTAGTACAGTTTTGAGTCCAGCTCTAGCATAGGTTTGATAGACACATGGATCTCTTGCTTAACTGCAGCCAAGCTTCTCTGGAGGGGAGGCGAATTCTGGAAAGAGAGCATGGATCTCCTGCGCAGCGCAGAGAAAGCGAATGACACCGCTGGATCAGATCGGGATGATGAGTCCCTTATCTGGAGAAGGCAATCAGTTTTTCCTTGTAGCTTGTACTCCCTCCGTTCCTGAATATAAGTCTTTTTAGAGATTTGTATATGGACTACATACGGATGAATATAGACATACTTTAGCGTGTAGATTCACTCATTTTGCTCCATATGTAGTCCATATTAGAATCTCTAAAAAGACTTATAATTAGGAACGGAGGGAGTAGTATATTTTAACCGTTTGTTTTTGTTGATGTTTGGCGTTTGATAAGTATATATACCTTTCGCCGAGTAGGGGAATTTTGCGGCCACCTACGACAGAGAAGGCTGCTGATATATTGCTAGAGGTACTGCTGGACTGAGGTTACGAAGCTATGCTCAGGTGCTTCCTTTTTTGTGTTTTTTGGTGCATGGTTTTAATTGCTTCGACTTCGACCTATTCAAGTTAGAATGCTCAGAGTTGCCTCCAGAGTTGCAGCCTTCAAGTTCTTGATTCGGATGCTGCACAGCGACTTATCCCTGGGTTACATGTTCCGCTCAACCTTGCGGTTTATATGCCACTAGCACTGAACATCAACCCTAGGAAATATTTACAGGTGCTGCACGCCTTCCTGCTTTGTTTCATCATCAACTGTTTGCTATGTTATATTCTTGGTATGCTAACACACTTCATTATTGTGTTTCTGTAGGCATTGTTCTCTGCATGCCAAAATGTGGCTAACGAAGCATCTGCGTCGTCCAGTGAACAGAAAGAGTTCAATCTGTACAATGAACATATTGATAATCTACATCAATTTTCAGGTAGGATTCTTGCATAGTCCCAATAAAGCAAGGGATATTGCTTTACACAAACTGAAACATTACAATATATGTGACCGTTCAGATGTTGGCTTTCCATCCACATTAAACCACCTAAAGCTAGAAATGATGTGCTGAATTTTTGTCAGTGTACAACTTATCAATTCAGTAGCTCCTGTTAAGGAAAACGTTAAAATTCAACATGTGCACACCACTGAAGCCATTGTGTCGTGGTATCAACATTTTTCTATGCCTAAAGACACTATCGAACATGAGCAGGAGATTATGATGCAGTGATCATCTGCCTTGGGGGCAAAGCTAGCTCACTTCCAGAACTTACAAATAAGTTGCCTCTTAGAACCTGCAGAGGAGTTATTGCTGAATTCCAACTGCCATCAGACACAGTGTAAGTTGTTTATGTAAGTTGAGCTTACAGTCATTACAATACCTACTGGAATTATCTGATGGCCGCATTTCCTCGCAGAGAAAAATATGGCAGCCAAAGTCCTTCAATCTTGTCTGATGCATGGCTGGCATTCCAAGGACCCTGTACCGTTTCTGTCGGGTCAACTTGGCAATGGAAGTCTGACAATCATGATCCAAGTGTATCTGATGAAGAAGCATGTACTGCAACGGAAGAGCTGCTCCCAAAAGCTTCTGCTGTTTATCCAGGAATAAGTAAATGGGAT